CGCAGGAGGATAGTCGCACTACGCCGGCCGACTTCTCAATCTGTCTGATGCATGCGAGCCAATGTCCACGAAGTCGCCACGTCGTTCTCCGACGAGCAATCCTTGTCCCGCACGGAAGACAAATTCCTCTATGTCCCTACTGCACAGAATACACTGAACCATTTGGTGGGAACAGCGACATCTCCCTCGGCACGACAGTGATTGCCTCGCACAGTCATACCCACACCGCGTCGCATGCTGAGGACGATGCATTATAAGCCGACCCCCTCAATTGAACGACGTATTACGATGGGACTCTGAGGTGTAGGGCTCCTGGTAGTTCAGGTCTGAGCAAGAGACGCGTTAAGGACGCCGTACCAACACAAGTGGCCATCAGAGGATGGCACCGACAGGGGACTTCACGGGGCAGCTGCGAACGGATCCGCATCACCAATCTCGAGCTCCTTCAGCTTCTCCACCACATCGCCCATCCTCCCCCGCTTCCACTCTCCACCCCACCCCTGCCTCCTCTCCTTCCGCATCGTGCGCGGCGTCGGCGGGAGGCGCGACATCGCCTTCTTCCTCCGGACCGAGCCATCGCGCGTGCGGTACGCGCTACGGACCCAGTAGGGCACCCTCGGCGACTTGGCGGTCGCGCACGGCGAGCGCGGGGTCGTCGGACGCATGCTCGAGCGGCGCGGGTCCGCCGAGAACGACGCTTGACGGATGCCGAAGCGGCGCCGGAAGGACTCCATGAGCTGGGCGTCCGCTCCGAGGATGACAGCTTTGGCTTGCGCGACGGACTGCTGTTGCTGCAGCGGGGAATCCTCTGTTGCGGGCGACGTCGAGGGTGAGTCGGGGACGTTCGGAGAGAGAGGTGGTGAACCAAGAGCGAGGACGTAGGATATGCGACTGAACCGGGCAGAGGTCGCGGAACGCGGCATGAGGAAACTCGCGCGCGTGTCCGTGCTATAGACAGAGACGCTATCCGCAACGCTTCTCCTCTGCAGTTCGCTAACAGAGCGGCTACGTCTTCTACCAGGGGGTGCGAGCATTTGCGACCGGCGCGCAGTGACCTTCATGGACATGCGGTACAGGTCGAGGTACGTCTTGACGTTGTGGACCTCAGGCGTTGCCTGTGCGCCCATGGAGGGCAGGGCGAGTTCCTCGACAATAGTCTCCCGGAACGCACGGGACATGCGCGCGAGCCGACGCAGAGTCTGCATTCTGTGCTCTTGGATGTCCGGAGTCTTGATGGGCGAGAGGGGCGAGACTGGGGTCAAAGGACTCAGGAACTCCGGCGTGAGGGGCGTCCTGCGACTGTCAGCACACCTTCACACCCCACACGGTCCAGCAAGGGAAACATACTTCATGTAACCGTACGGGAAGGGCGACAGATTGACACTGCCCATCGGGGACCCAAGGTTCAGAGCGCAGGGGATCGCCCTCGGCGGCGTCAGACATCCGTCCGCTGCATCGTCCGCACCGAACTCGAACGGCCTCGTAGGCGGCAGCTTGTACCGCAAGACAGGCGCGGGCGGAGCCTTCCGCTTGCCCTTCTTGGTGACGTTCAGCGGCCGCGTTTGCACTGGCAGGCCGAGGTTCAACGAACTCGAAGACGCCGCGCTGGCGCTCGCCGGAGAAGCGGGAATGACATCGATGACGGGCATCTCTCCGAGCAGCTTGCCGACCTTCTGGCTCGACTTGGCTAGCCTGAGGCGCTGCTCGGGGTCGAGCATGTGCAGGGCCGGAGATATACTGCGGGAGGCATGCGCGATAGACTCTGCGGTGCGGCTGAACATTCCTAGCTGGCTGAGACAAGAATCGAAGAAGCACAAGAGTGAGAGGTGAAAACGCAAGACAAGAGGCAAACGAGGGTGATTTGAAGGAGGACCAGCCAGAAATTACACAGAGCAGGTAGGGTACCGTCGTCGTCGACCAGGACAAGACGCCTGAGGAGTCCAGCTGAGCGACGAGCTTATAGGTCTCAGTGCGGAGCTGAAGCGTAGCGAGGCGTTACCAGCGACAACCAACGTCGACGGCGCCATGTCCGAGAGCACAGGTTCGTACATCAGCATCACTGATGTTCACCGTCATGAAAGTGGTAACAGCGTAGATTGGAACGTCGCCAAGCCACGCATCATAGCAAGCATGCCGGAGACCATGTGGATTATCGTCTGAATGTTTGGGTGAAGAGAGCGGTCAGACCCGCAAGGAATTCACGAGTGCGGACTCGGATTGATGTTGAGCGTACATCAGCAAATCCTCCCGGGTGTTCCATTGCTTCCGCACCTTGTAAGAACAAAATAAGTCCGATATTCAGCTTATACTCGCTTATAACTAAACAAAATGATGTCACATCCTGAGAAGCAATGAACAATCCTTGTCCTCCTCGTCCAAGGAGCTAGCAGGCCTGCTTAACCCTTACATCGAACTTACGCCCCACAAGGGCCACAAGCTGCCTGCCGAACACGTCGTTCCCCGACTCCGCAGAGGAGGGTTTTGTTCCGTCGATTCGGACACGAGTCCCCCTTTGCTCTGGTGCACGCGTTCCCACGCTCGTTCACCAAGCGCCCGTTCTTTGCCCTGCAACGAGCGAGTGCAGGAGTTCGAACCCCCCAGCTCTCTCTCTCTCTCGCGGAGTGTCTCGCAGCTCCTTGAGTCCCTGATCGTCAGGACATGGTCGGGTTCACTGATTCCAGTTCAATCATAATATAGACAATTTTGCAGTTCGCTGAGCTCATGCTAGTAAGCTCGTATAAGTATCATGATCGTCCCTAGTACCTACTGATGCAGGTGAATCGTGATTAGGTATATAGTATGATACTGCCCCAGTTTTGAGAGTGAACTATCAGAAGTATACATGTCAATAATGAGAGGTGTGCCGCATAGTGATAAACTTGTAGATGATATCTTCCGTAGCTCTTTGCCGGTTTTTCAGCAAAAGAGTACCAGGCAGTATCTCAGTAAGGATTTGACAGCGGGTGGGGTTGAAGTGGGCAGGTTCTTATCCCATCAGATGTTCTGCATGACAAAGAAGAGACTTGAGCGAGAAGGACCCATTCGAGCACATCCAATCACTGAAATGACAAGTTCACTGAAGTTCGCGCGATATCATATGCAGCCACCCGGGAAACTACATCATGTAGCAACATAAGCAAGCCCTGTGCGGACCCGTCAGCCGCACTACTCAATCGTAGACGAGTTTGAGCTCTTCACGGCCATATGATCGCAGTCCAAGGACGCTACAGGTCTAGGGAATCCAACCCTTTGACTTTCCAAACTCATTAGTAGAGAGGAAACGTTCTGCCGCAGGGGGCTGAGTTGATGCGCGGGTCATGTCGTGCAGCAAGCAGATACAACGGCATACTTACTCCAATCTTCAGATTAAGACTCGAGACTTACTACTAAGCAGGTAGCCTGTACAGAACCGCTCGAGCCAGTGGATGCCTCTGATGCCAAACATCCCCGATACCGACAGGTAGACGGTCTTCATGACAGTTTGCGTAACCGTGCGCCCCGCCAAAAATTCTCTCGCACGTGCCCTTATTGATGTTAACGCCCCTTTGGTTTTGGAATGCACAGTCCTATTCCCCGGTCTACAATGTACGTTCAGGATGCAGCCTGATTTACGCTGCTGTAATACGGGATTCCGCTCTCACCTCCTCGAGTCCCTGGGGGGCGGTTGGAGGGTCCCTCTGCCCTTTCCCGGAGCGAGATCCATGTCCAGCGCGTGGTGGACGATATTCTAACCTTACGAGTCAAAATGTCTCCGTCCTAGCGCGCGCACCCTACTATGTCTAAGCGACATTGCAAACTCAACCCGTTCAACGGCTCATTCTCGTTCACGAACGGTATCGGGCACTGCCTCTCGTTGGCGCTACAGACTTATTAGACAGAGTACAGGTTGAGAGCGTCAGACTAGTAGTACAGCGGAGCCCATATCCCGTGCGCAGATGGTCAGACAGAGTTCGCGACAGGATGCAAACAGAGCGCTTCATGGAGACGGAGTCGGGGACTGGCGCTTGCGCCGTTACGATACTGTCATCTGCAAGTAAAATCCGACCTGCCCTCAAGCTCAGGCTCCACTTCTGGGCTGCCGGTCCTTATCACCCTGCACGCTGCCAGGACCTGAGCTGCATCATCTTGTGCTCGATGCACCGTCTCCACCCTGCGCTCAGGCTCTGGATAGAGCATCCTGGGCCATGGCCTTCCCTCCCTTGTGACTGCTCGCTCCTATAGACTGGAGGATTTGTCTAGGACTGCGGCGTCTAAGTTGAGACTCCAGTCTCCCCCTCTGCGCCAGCTTCCGGACTCGGAGTCACTCGAATAAGGATCTCGACTTCCACCCTCCCGAGGCCAGTGCGTGTCGTTCCTCGGTTTCATCGTCTACTCGTGGTTGGTCTTGTAATCGCGGTGAGTTCCTACCTCTCCTGACCTCTCGGCGCTCGCGGTTCCTCCTCAGATCCATTCTCAGAACGCCCGCGATGTAATCCAAGCCCATCGCAGGTAAGGCCCCAAACCACTATGATCATATGCATAGCATTGTAGGCTTAGTTATAGTGTATTTTAATGCGATACTTTGGTCCGCTCTCCTCCGAATGGCGGCATGATGTGCGACGAGCAAGCCGGGTTAATATGCATGACAGAAGGTACTGCAGGGCTGCATTTCGTCCGGCCTAGAGGTCGGCGCAGGCGTTGTCACTGCCTATAAAAGATGCCAAACTCTTCTGGTGATGCGGAGGCATTGCTCATCTTACGGTACTGTTAGCAGAAGAGCCATCCTATAGGAAGGAGCTTGGAAGCGATGTATAAGGGTTCCACACATTTGCTTGGTTATATATCTGCTAAGGAGGTTGCTTGCCCTTGTAACGGTCAAATAAGGTCCAGTAGGTTTCGCCGATGCTATCGTGAATGCAGTTGATGGAAGGTCAAAGCGCGATTGAGGGCATGCGAGCGAAGGTACAACACAGAAAAATAGCCAATCATGTGGTGAAGTACACAGGGATCAAAGCTATCAATCCGATATGGTGTAGTGGCTAACATTTTATCGCCTCTCACGCGATAGCCCGGGGTTCGATTCCCCGTGTCGGAACTCATTTTATATGACAAGCTTGCCTACGGCAAGCCCGGCGGCCCCAGTACTGCTTGCTCCATTGCACCTCGAATCCAAGCCATAGGTATGTAGAGATGATTCATGTTTTAGTTGCGGTACAAACATGTCGCGTCTGAAGAAGCTTGAGTGTCCGCGTCTGGTAGACGGTGTGCCAACGCCTCGCAAAAGTTATCCTGAGAGAACGCCGGGTACATGGGATCGCGCAGCTTCGACGGGGGTGTCTGCCCCACGGAAATCCAAGCATTGTAAGAGATCTCGCGAAAGGCTTGATCGGTGATGCAAATGTCCCCGCCATTTTCGAACGCCGCCCCTGCCTTTGCGGCCTCCATGTACATCCAGTCCTTCACCTTCCCCATGTCGAGCTAGTCCATTTCCTCCGCTGCGTCACCATGTACTCGGAAGCGCACGCGGAAGAGCTGATCTTTGAAGTTGGTGGTGGGCGCAGAAGACGTGACGATGACAAACCGCTCCGGCTCGCATCCCTTTCGCTGCCTGATCATGACGTCGAGCAGATGGTCCTTGACGAGGTCCGCTTCCTCAAGGGCGGTCGGTTCGCGCAGGAACTGCTGACGGAACAGCGCTCGGTTGACCCTGTGCGTCCAGCCGTCAACCAGCTTATACCCGCCTTGAACGGGAAGCCCGTAGCCAGGTACCAGAAGCCCGGCGCGTTTCCAGGAGTCAAGCCAGTTAAAGCCGGCTCTCTCCAGCTTGTGGTAGTTGGGATCGTCCGCATCAATGCCAGCAATCTTGTGCATGCCGTCCGGGCGAAGTACTGGAATTATCAGGATGCGGCTCTTCCACCTTTCCGGGGGACTGCGCTTCTCGATCTCTCGGACGAACGCCGTGGCGTCGTCGAAGCCGAGATTGTACAGCTGGATGCCAATCCTGCCTTCCAGGTCGCGACGGTTGATGAGGGTCATCACGGCCTCGACAGGATCCTCATTGTCTCGCGTGTCCAGAAGCGCATTGGCACCAGGGACGCATAGGAGGCTCTCATCCACAAAGCGTCGGAGGGTGGGAATCCGCTGGTCGGTGGCATAGAGCGTACTCGCAAAACGGCCGTGCTCGTCGATCGGGCGGTAGCCAAGCGACATCTTCTCGACGTTGTCGGCCGTGAGGTCCCCCCAGTTCTCTCGGGAACCAACCATGCGGTTGGTGTTGCGCTCATGAGCCAGGATGAAGGTGCCGTCCTTTAGGGGGGGTGAGGTCCACCTCAGCCATCTTGAGACCGAGGATTTTGTAGACGCGGTGAAGCGCCGCCATCGAGAGTTCGGGGTAGAAGAGCCCTCCGTGCAGGCCAACATCCTCACGATGAGGCACGACGATCTTCTGCGCAGGCTTCCAGTGCGTGAGGACATCTTCGCGGGTTAGGCGGTTGATGGCCTCCTCTGGGTGGACCCCGCGAGGGAGGTCGAGTTCGGCAAGAGCTGCTTTCCGTTCGCTCTCGATGGTCTGGTCCTCGGTCAGTGCGTCGATGCTCAGGCACGAAGCCCGAACAACAGCGACATCCTGGCCGATGGCGGGACGTTGCGTCAGCGGGGCTGCGAAAACAATCCGGACGACTGTAACGAGCAGCTGAGGGATGTATGGATTCAACTTGAAGAACATGATAACGTTGCGACGAGAAGGACGATGTGACTTACAGCGCTGGCTTTCAAGCCGGAGGACCAATTGACCGTATTTTCAAGTTCACTCCAAGCCCTATCTGTGGAGCGACACATAGTAATTGCGCCCAAACTCCCCACCACAAGGTCCACACCAGTGGCCCCACTGCCTCCGCCCGGCTCCAGGGTCGACTGGAGAATCTCAACATCCCGATCCCTGCATCAATCCTTGTTAGACTTCGCGAGCTCACTCGAGAACGTACGTGATTGCTTCACAGGGGAGGGGAGGGGGGCTGCCCGAATTCAGGAACATGAAGAAGCCAGACAGGCACCCGGAGCATCCTCCCCGGGATCCCAGGATGAGGAAGAGTTGGAGGTGTCATTGAAATATAGCATGAACGCGACCAGAGTAGAGCATTACAGAGCGGAGAGCATACACGATACAGAGTAATCCTAGTTCAACTGGAGTAGCACAATACGTTCCTGACGGGTCCCATGAAGTAGCACATAATGTTGTTGTTGCTCGTCCCTCAAGCGCTTGATAACCTCCCTGATTTGCTGAGGATAATGACTTTGCTGCAGCGGTAGCGCGGCAGAAAACCCTTTCAGCACCTCGTCGTTTGTCAGCCAACTCGCATTCTTCGCCATCTCCTCGAAGACCACAGTCGGGACGTCGACCGTGATTGTCCGTATGCTTTGCATAGCATTCTTCACGGCGACGGCGTGTTCGTGCGCTGCGGGGAGCGATCAGTAGGGTGTCAACCAAAGACCACAGAAAGGGCGCACCTTTGTTCAGCATCATGGTCTTATGTCCCTTCCGCTGTTTCTTGATATCGCCCGGCAGAACGACTAGCACCTCTCCGGTGGTGGTGAGCTCCTTTGCGGCGGCAGTCTGAGCCGGAGTGTTCTCGACATTCGCGGCCCCAGAAGTCGTAGCATCTATCCGTTTCTGCTCCGCGATCTGCTGTTGCAGGAAGGGCACAAGTTCGTTCGGTGGTACTGTGCGAGCGTCAGTAAGGAATCTCCGCACGTTCACAAATATGGAAGCATACCCTCCGTCTCGGTGCCTTTGAGGACGCTCTTTACTCTGTACGCCGGCCACAAACCGACGCGAGGCTTGGCATGCACGATGAAGCTATGCACGGAGATTCAGCAAAATACTAGCATGCGAAGATGGCATACTCACAGGATGCCTTCTCGTGAGCACTGCTCGACGTAGTTCTCGCTCTCAACCATGCCGCGTAGGGACGCTTCGTACATGACGTCCGCGCTGATATTGTGCTTCCACAACGTTGCAGCGACCTCGAGACGTTCCGCCAAGAAGCCTGGCTGGTACGAGACTATGTAGACGTCGCATCGGCGAGGACTCCAGTAGCCGAATGACTTCTGCTCCTTGAGCAGCGTCCGGAGGGATGCGCTTTGGTATGCTGCCAGGGAAGCGGTGATCTTGTCGAGGTAGATCTGGAGTGCCACGGCGCAGCTCGCCTCCATCTTCGGCTTGGGAGGAGAGTAGCGTCGGATGACATGGTCATACCTGAGGAAAGCGTGAGCGACGGTGCCGGGCGGTTGTAGAGCTTCGTACCTTCCACCTGTTGCCAGGACATCCGAGTACTTATTCTTCCGCACGACCTCGAAGCAGACCCCATCCGCGTAGTATTGACTGCGGTTGTTGAGCATGAGCGGATTGATCTTCAACGGTCGTGTGACCCCTGAGGCATTGGCGAACTGAACAGTCGAGCGGATGTCCTCAATGTACGGGGCAAGGAGATCACGTAGGCTCGAGTAGGACCTGTCAAGTCGTTCCGTGAACGCCTCGATTGACTCATCTGCCGCCGAGGTCAGTTGTGCACAAGTCTGGATGACCCCAAAATGGAACTGACATGTCTCAGACAGTACCTCTAGCCAGTCGTTGACGGTCCTTGTCACACCTTTGCGGAGCAAGCTTGAACGCTTCTGCGAAGTCGATGACTTGGATTGACTCAGGATCTCGAGGGCCTCGGCGCGTATCTCTGGCGGCACATGCTCCAGTGCTTGCTCCAAGACTGATACAGCATGGTGAGCAAAAATGGGAGATGCAAGGACAGATTGACATACTTCTCGAATGTGACAGATGGATCTCGTAGTGTTGCCAGAGATTTCCGAAATTGTCCAAGCAATCACTCACAATGGAGACAGCCTCGGAGGTTGCGGCAGTCGGACCCGTGATGAGGTCGGGGGTAATGATGTCAAAGACCGCGACCTTCGTCGCCCTCGGGTGCCCAGCAATCACGCTACACCAACGATTGTCAGTACAGGCAGCGAACAGTCTGCATATGGCCTACGTACTTCGGGTGGTAGACGTCGCTGATGTGGTAGCGCTTGATACGCTTGATGTCAGCGCGGGCAGCAGCACGAGCGAACGGGACCAGAGCGTTGTTTGGAAGCATGACCACCTCGCCGTGGCGATCTAGGTAGAGTGCACGGCTACGATCGTCCTTCGGATTCGTGACGGGCATCAGAAGAGGAGGCTCAATGTCCACAGCGCCGTGCAGATGGAACATCTGCTCAAGGCGATCAATGACGAGCGTATTGAGGGCCGAATGCTCAGGAGGTTCTGCGTCGGCGTCATAGAGGTACGTTCGCACAGCCTTCACGGGTTGACTGAAAAGCGTCGAGAGCACGGCTTGCAGATGTGGAGAATCCGGCTTCGCAATAAGTTTCATCGCGCTCTTGACATACTCATCCTCGAGACGGGGCGGGAGCAGTGGACTCTGCGAAAGCTCCAATGCGGTCGGCCTCTTCTCGGGATCATGCTCAAGGAGCCATTGAATGACTGCGACATGTATTCAGTACTCAGACGAGATCTCCTGAAATGCGAGTACTCACTCTGCTTCTGCCGGGTGCGCTTGGGATCCCAATCAGCAGGGAAGTTGATCGAGGGCACTCGCAGTTCTCGGAGGACCTCCCAGCGCTCGGACTCCGTCTTGAAGAAGTAGTTCATCTCGAAGAAGACAATCTGCACTTAAATGAGTCTTCTGCAGCATCACGATGGGCGACCGGAAACGTACCCCCAAGCTATACATATCGGCCTTGGCGCTGTTGCGCGGACCCTTCCGTCTGGACTGCAGCTCCGGTGCAATATAGAGGGCAGTGCCCACGTCTGGCCAATAAATTAGCGGCTATGTCATAACACCCGCGCTCAAGCCTACCTAAGGTCATGTCCTCATGTCTCCCAATGTTCGGTGCCACGTCCGAAGGGTCTACAGCAGCGAGACTCGATGTTGCAAGACCAAAGTCGCCGACTATGTGGTGCATGAGGACCTGTGGGGTTCGTTCCCTTCAGAAATCGTACTCACCCTTGCAGTCACCCTTCCCGTCTGTAAGAATTAATGTCAG